ATCACATAAAAATGTGTGTGTGTGTGTGTGTGTGTGTGTGTGTGTGTTAATATACCATTAACTATCCCTTTCACAATCACTGGTAGGTACGTATGTTTTTTTATCCATGTGATGTCATCCCAACAGAGAGAGGGGTCTATTGCCTTGGCAACATAAACAGCCAAACCGCTGTCATTGCCATAGTTTCCCTCAGAGAACGCCATGGAGGCTGATGAGAAGTTGGACATGCTGAGGACACACACACACACACACACCCCAGTTACTACGGGACACACTTTGTGGTCTCCATGGTGGAATTTGGGAAGTGATTACATTTTGCTCTGCTATTTCTGTAGTTTGGTTCCTACCTCAGGTGTGGGGGCAGTTTGAAGCGGTTGCGCATGTCATCCAATCTCCTTCCCAGGTACGGCGTATCCACAGTAACAAAGATAGCCTTATAGCCCGCCTCTTCTGCCCGGCGGACCAAGGATAGTGTGAGTTCTCGGTCTTTATAGATGTATAGCTGCAGCCACATGACACCGCCTACTGAGGTTGTCATTGCTGACATCACTTCCTCTATAGTGGAGGTGGCCCAGGAGCTCAGCATCATCCCTGTCCCCACTGCTCGGCATGCTGAGTAGACACATAGGGTTACTGCCTATTGGAATGAGCCTCACACCTATACATCACAGATGTTGCGATTACGTTTGTTCCTTCCCGATAATGATCTGATATCTTAATTTGCATATTGGTATACATAGTCAACACACACACACATATATATATCGCTGTTGAGCCAGCCATAACACTATATTTCCAAGTTACATGTATGTAAGCGTCTTTGGGTATTTTGAAAAGCGCTATATAAAATTGATGTATTATTATTATTATTATTATTCCCAGTGTGTGTGTGTGTGTGTGGGTGTGTGTGTGTGTATGTGTGTGTGTGTACCTCTTGCTGTAGCTGTCTCTCCCTCAGGATGAGCCATCCTCTGCATTGCTGTGGCTGCCACACAGACAGGCATGCTAAGCTTGTGGCCCAGCACAGAGACAGAAAGATCCACTGTGGACACATCCCTCAACACCCGGGGGACAAGACGCCACCTGCAAAATGTTAAACTTACATTCAAGACATAAAACAACTAAAAAGAAAAAAAAGACTCCTAATTGGGACATGAAACACTGAGTGCTGTTTTTCATTTTTTCATGACCTCAATGACCGACTTGAGCCATGTGAGGAAAGGGGAGGAGTCGGGCAGAATACTGACTGAGCAGCAGCCACGTATAATATATGTAATGTTTGGACATACATCTGGAGAGGATGTCTCAGCTATGAATCAAGCATCAAAAAGATTATTCCCCAAACGTATTAAAGGACATCCGGTGTGATGTGGATGAGAACCTGGGTTGACTAGCACTGTTGTATTTCCATATCTAACTATCCTACAAATGTGGGTAGTGAATACGTATAGTATTGTTTTGCATGTACTATCTACACTGCGTGGTCCTGTTTACATGTTACACATGCTATTGACTGTTGGACCAAGAAAGAGTTCTTAATTAAAAGCAACTTAAAATCCAAGTCGGATGGCTGAAATCCTTTATCCGTTTCAAAGACACAACTAAAACCCACCGAACTGTAAAGAGTGTTTCAGAGGAAAGGAGGCGATAAACTGGATAAAAACTTAACCAAGTTATAAAAGGTAATCCATTCTTAATGGTGCTTAAGGCAGGTACACACAGATACCGACACATGAGGCATTATATACTTACATCTTCATGTTCACAATTTATTTGATTAATTGAAAAATGTATAATTTCTTATTCCTGATTTATGACTATAGAAGAACTTGACACACACTGCTGAGCTGCACCTCTAATAATCTACAGCTTCCCAGCTTTCAGAGGACGTACACTTGTATGTGGCAGATACTGTTAACCTGTTATAACCTGTTAGACATGTGGGTGTCTTAAACTATACTTTGTTAATGCTTTGCTGCTGCCTCCGTCCACTGCAGCGCATTGCTTATTGCTTTACTTCCATGCTGGTACTCCTGTCTGTTTTCCCAAATGTGACTATGGATACCTCATACAACCCCACTTGAAAACATGCAAACTATTCCTAATGTAGGCAAATGCATAAAGTTAATATTGATGTATGAATACACAAATAATAACTACAGGAACAGCTCTGCAGCAGCGTGACGGCTGCTTACAGCAACAAAGACACGTTCTACAAAAAGGGAATGGTGTCATATAATCACATGTTGAACTAGAGCAGAATACATGACTTGATGCAGACAAAGTCACAGAGGAAGCCACATCTTCACAGCTGAAAGCCAAACGATAAGGAAACAGAAGACTTGTTTTGAAACACAGGTGTTTTAAGACATGAATGAATTCCACCACTTAGTTGTCTTCTCTTCCATCAGGCCGACTGTGTTTGGTGCTGAGGGCTTCGCAGATGACACACAGTAATAGTGACAGTTCTGAAGGTTTCTGCTCTGACTTCAGAGTCTGAGGCACATTGGGCCACATTCACTAATGGTTGAAATGTTCTTACCTTGCTTATAAAATAAGTTCACGCGCAAAATTGCCATCGGATTCATGACATTTGCGCACTGACAAACCACCGTGTGTATGTTACTCAACCAGAATAATGGACGGGCTCGTGCCTGCTACCTGATCAGCACCAAGGTCCGTGCACGAAGTAGAATCCATGTGCTATTGTTCACGTTGTATAATGAACAATGTCAGTTTAGCAGTATTAATAATCTCATCGGTCTACTTGTGTTCATGTATTCTGCTACATGTTGTTCACAGCCGATGCTGCCTAAACGTGGTCAACGCTTTGTCTGTGTTATGGTCGCATTGAACAAACACGTGCACCAAAACATCAGCTTGTTCTATTATCTGACTTAAAAATGAAAATTGAGTAAAGGAAGTCGAGAGCGGGAAACAGAGACAGAAACATGTTTGCTCCAACGATTCATTTACTAAGAGATCATTTAAATAAATACAACTAATATTCTAAATAATGAACATAATGAATGACTTATAAAGTCATATTTCTGCTACTTTACCATAACTGATGGTGAATAAACTGCCAATGGGCACAAACACTGAATTATTTGTATGTAATGATGCATTATATCATCAATTTATTTATTTAATTAAGGCTTCTTAAACTATTTGTGTGAATGAATCAAGCTGTAGCGTTGATACATGTGATGAGTCTGACTGTAAAGAGTTGATTTACTTTGAACTTTAAAGACTTTAACGAGTCTTTAACGAGTCTGGAGCTGTGAGGCAGTAAATGCTAAATGGACTCTACTTGTATCTCTCTTTTCTAGTCTTCCGACCACTCAAAGCTCATGAACACTAAATTTCATCATTCACCCATTCACACCCATTCACACCCATTCACACCCAATTACACACTGATGACAGGGGCTACCATGCAAGGTGTCACCTGCCCATCACTATCTAACCATTCACACACACGAGGCAGCTTTGGGGATCAGTTTGAGGTTGAGTGACTAGCAGAGCCGGTGATCCTCTAATTGAGGGGCGGCCCTGCTCCACTGAGACGCAGTCGCCAGTTGAATGTTGTGTCCCTGAGACATGGACTGTTACTCAGGTAAAGAAAAAAAAAACGGTTTGTTATTGAAGTTTATGTGAAAAAAAGAATAACCATAAAAAAAAGAAGTAACAGGTGGAGATGAGGATAATCTAATTTGTCAGCCTGAGATGTCATCCTCGTGGAAATTATTGGACAAAGATAAGTGTGATATGTGATAAACAACATTTTCAAAGCAGTTAAAAATCGGTTGGCTCTCCCGTTTGCCGGCACACTCCCGTATTACCTGTCTAATCTAACAGCACCATAAACTACTCATTCATTTTTTATTTATATAACCACAATAACATCAAACCATATGACTACAAGCATTCAAAGCTTCAATAGAAGAGCATCGAAATACATATTTTAATTTTGACAATAACTGATGAAAGGACATCAAATTCATAGTTATTTATGAATTTGAAGTCCTCACCTGACGACACACACAAACACTGCAGAGGAAGTTCGTCTTGAACCAGACAACAACGAAAAACAGTTGATTGATTGCGTATTTGCATCGCTAGTAGTTGGCTAGAAGTAAGATCCCGATGCCACACTAAGCTTTTCTTCGTTCCAGAAAGACAAAAACACGAGTTAAGGCTGTAAAAGCAAATCAA